TCGAGATCGAGATCGAGAGGGGGGGGGGGGGTGTAATTGATTACTTCCACTTTGTAGTTACAAACATGTAACTAATGCTCTCTCCCAGCGCCTCCCTTGTCTGACCATTTCATAAGTTTTTAAACTTTAATTTACACTTTTCTCTTTTCTGTTTTTTTTTCCCAGTATCATTGGGAAGTTAGCTTACAACATATTCTGCCTGAAAATGGCTTTAAGTTTAGCAGTCACTTGTGGAGTTTTGAAAATGGTTATTTCTTCTCAATCACAACTAATAAAATTTAGACTATGTCTACTTAAAAATGTGATTAAATCCCACAATAATAAATGCATACATCTAACTAATATATAATCCCACACAATAACAAAAGTACATAAGAACTATCAACTATGTCTACTTAAAAAGGTCCAATAAATTGTACAAAAAAAATTAATAGTGTGTTGTTATTTCACCAAATATACCCCAATATACCAAACCTTCGCAGCGAATTGAAGCTTTAACTTTGCATTTCGCTATTCAATAGCTTTTGTTTAAAAGTTGGATAAATATAATATAGAAATCCAATTGTTCACTTTACACTAAACCATGACATAAAGAACTACAAGTTTCGGAGAGAACTCAATCTCATTTTACAAGTCTAGTGGAAACATCCATATTATAAAACAATAGCAAGAAGAAAAAATAATTCACATGACTGAGTCACTGATATGGCAAATATACAAAGTTTATCCATTATTGGCATTACTTTGCGCATAAACCCTATTATAATTAAAAGATAATATTAGCAGGAGTAGGTATTTTCTTTCGGCTTTTAAAGAAGTTATAAGGCTCTTAATAGCTTATTTGGCCAAACTTCTAAAATCAATTTATTTTGAAAAGTATTTTTGTTAAGAATTAATTTATATTTGGCTATTTAAATTTAAAAACACATTTGAGTAGCAATTAGTGTTGGTCAAGCTTTTAAAAAGTATTTCTAAGTGTATTTTCTCAAAAAGTGCTTTTCAAAAGTATTTTTGGGAATAAATTACTTTTTCTGCTTCTCAAAACTGTTTTTGCTTCTACTCAAGAGTACTTTTTTTTCTTCTAAAATCTTGACCAAACACCTTAACTTTGAAAAACCACTTTTGACACACAAAAAAATACATTTGGCCAAAAAGAAACTTGACCAAATAGGCTATAACTTCTTAAACTATTTAATTCTTGTCACTAAATATTATTGCTCCTAGCATCCTATATACTCCTTCCGTCCCAAATTAATAGAAACTTTAGTTCAAAAAAGGTTATCCAAAATAATTGTTACTTTAGGAGTTAAAAGACTAAAATTGTTAAATGTTTCTAACTATACCCTTATATTAAAGTACTAGTAGTT